AGTAACTACCCACAAATACCAAGGGCACTGATATACCAAACCACAGGCAAACAAGAGCAAACATTGTTCCAAAAGGCACTGCCCCAGAAGATTGCTCCCCCCAAATTATAGCATTCAGCACAAAGAATACAGAGAAAAGAATGCCTGGAAACATAAATGCAGTCTTTAAGGTATTCCTCTTCCATTCTGTGCCCTTGAACATTTTGTACAGACGTGCTGAGGAGTAGCCAGCACCCAAGCCCATAAAAACCCACAAAAGAACCATGGCTGTCATAAGACCGCCTCGATTGGATGGGGATAAGAATCCCAGCAATGCAAATATCATTGTCACAAGTGTCATTCCAAAGATCTGAACACCAGTACCAACATAAACACAAAGTAAATTCGAATTGGTTGGTGGCCTGAAAACATCTCCATGGAGAAGTTTCCATCCTGTCTCTTCCTGGGCCTCATCTTGGGTTTCTAGCTGGTTATAATTAGAAATATCTTTGTAAAGAGTTCTCAGCATGATCATTGCCACCATTCCGGAAAGGAAAAGAACAATCATCAGAGAGTTAATGATGGAGAACCAGTGGATCTGGTCATCATTCATTAGAAGATATGTATCCCATCGAGATGCCCATTTGATTTCACTTTTCTGGGGGGCAAAAAAAAAAACAAGAAGAAGAAAGAATCATTAAACCTGAATTAATGTGGCCAATCACAGATGAGGTGAAAGAAGAAGAGTGCCCATAGGCATGATCAGAGATACCTTGAAGGAAACATCATAAGTGAATACAATGTCCTTGTTTTTTCCTACTTCTTGTGGGACAGTGCTGCCTTGCATTAAATTCTTGGTGTCTTTATTGCATGTTGTTACTTGTGGATTCTTCTCATCCCACTCCTTGTATTCGTGATTGATACTGTATGCGGTGATAGAATTCATATGAGAAGACAAGAACATACAATAAGTAGTTATGCAAAAATCAACAACAAAGCAGTCAATACAGAAGCTCAATGTTTTTGAACTGATTTCGATAAAGACCAGGGATTACAATATCTTAAGAGCATTGTTAACAAGCATAAAATGCAGAGGTATGATAAAAAACAATGAGGAAAAGGGGAAGTATCTAGAACCCTTCTTTAAAATAGCATGAAAGACCTTGTTTTATCTTCGAACAAAAGAGGCTACAGATGAGATAGGGAACAACACCTGTTTGGGGTGACTTCGAACCCAACAATACGAGCAGAATCAGTTTCAGGATCCTCATGATACATGACTCTAAAGCTCAGGTGGTTATTGATAAAATATTTCTCCTCCTTGCTCTACAGGTAAATGTTAAGTTTGTGAGAACAGAAAAAACAAATTTCCATATCAAAAGTGATTTCTGAGTTTATACCCCTTGATAGTTTCCTTTAAACCCAACACGAAACCCATGTTCATATGTGGTTGATTGCCCTCCATCCCTCCTCTGTCTAAGAACAGCAACTGGAAGATTATCCAAAATCCTGCATATTCATCTCATGAGTGACTCGTGTCAGCAAGGATATACAAAGCAAAAGACAAGCAGACTGTCAAAGAGAACTTTCAAAAACATAAAAGGACTTATATTATATAGCAAGAGCAAAGCACTAGAAAATATACATTAATCACTTACATGTTTACTCGATATTCATCATCAATTTTTTCTTGAAAATTCTTCGCAGACTCAGCATCCAAAGTCACGCGACAAGCTACAGTACAAGATTGTTCCTTCCTCATTTTAAACTGAAAAAAGAATAAATCGAATTAGGTTGTAGAATCAAAAGAAGAAACCATTGTAACAAACTCTTAAAGGCCTAGTTATCCAAGTAAATTGCTAAATGAAATCAGTAATAGATATGTACCGTGTATACTGAATTTTCAATGCGATCCCCTCGAAGAACCTCTCCTAAATTTTCTGCATTGTTCACAATCTTCGGGGGTTTGCAATACTTCAAGAAGTAGTAGTCGTACGGAAGTTGAGTCTTTGTAGATGATAATTTGTTCACTTTAACAGACAGCGGTTCATCCTAGTCCCATAGCAGAAGGAACGAATCAATATTTTCAGGGTAATACAACAAACCTATATATATATATATATATATATATATATAAAACGAACAAATTAAAATTGAAAAAAAAAAAAAACTGAACCATAGTTACAAGACTCCTCATTCAGGAAATACAACAATTAGAAGTTCCTAATACAGAAATCATTTATTGAGGTCACAGGAAGATTCAATTCAGCACCAGAAAGACGGCAACTGAAGCTGTATTTTATGAATTTCTCACTTTATATTAATAGATTTGATCACCCTGTTCTCAATTTCCGTACATCAATCAACCAAAACTATCAAGACCCGAACTCAAAAAGCTAACCTAACTCCCTAAGACTCTGCAATTCATTTCCCGACAGACACTCGTCCAACCAATTCACCCGAACAAACGATCTTTTAAGAGAAGTCATTTCTAGCTCGAACCACATCAGAACAACCAAATAATCCACGATAGCCTGATGAAAAACGTAAGCAGAAACTGTAAGGCAAATAGGATCATTTCTCATTCTCGAATCTCGAACGAAGACAAAGGAAAGGACATAGATCAGACCTAAAACCCCAGATCCAACAACTATCAAATGCAAAATTAAAGAACGTCCAGGATTCAAAGAAATTAAACGACCAGAGAGAAACGGGTAGTACATCAAAAATCAACAGGTAGAAACTGAGAAAATAGAAGTAAAAGGGATTGAGGGAGCATACAGTATGAAAATCTCGAGGAGCAACGCCGGGAAGGTAGAACGAGTGGGCGTATGAGATGAAGAAGAGAAGGAAGGAGAAAGCGGTGATCTTCGGAGCGGAGATGGTAGGCATCTTCGTCTGCCTCTTTGGGTGCTTCAATGGAATAAAGGAACGAAAGATCCACCGATACACAAGAAATGGAGTGGCCCAGCTGAAGAAGAATTCACTTCTGCCGAGATTGTTTCTGAGTTCTGACTTTCTGCAGCTTCCGCTCACGCTTCCGGAAACATCATACTCCAGGACTCGGATTTTATCCACGCTGCTTGAATTGATTTGGAGTGAGCAATGAAGAAACTTATTTTATATTTGGATACAATAATACACTTTATATTTTATAATTATAAAATTATTTTTTTGTGTACTTATAAAATTATTTTAATATTTATAACAAAAACACTAAAATTTATTTTTAGATGAAATTTGATTAAAAATATGACATTTTTGTGTATTCATGCAAAATCTTAAAGCTGAATATGAGTAATATTACTTACTCATGCATGTATTTTATATCGATTAAAAATTTTTGTTCTCAAAATTAATGAAATTAAGTAGGTTAGTTATTCTTAAAAAAATGTGTATTGATTTTTGTAAAATACTTCTTTAATTATTTGCATTAGACCCTATTAATGAAAACTTCCTTTGATTTATGAAATCAATAATGAAAGTTTAGAGGAGAAATTATAATTTTGGGAGACAATATATCTAGATATAATATAAGAGTTAATTTGGTATTTAATTTAGTTTTAAATATAAAATTTTTTGTCTTTCATATTTATCTATTTTTCTAAAGTAGTCCTTATAGTAGTTACATATGTTAAAAATTCTATTAAATGGTAATTCTAACTAATATACATGATTAGTCAGAATATTCTATGAAAAATAATATATATGCATTACATATAACTAATTTAACAAATTTTCTCAATTTTTTCAAATTAGCTCATTAACTCTTATATTAAAAACCAAATGTAGTACTCTTCCAATCCTTAATATGGGACCTAATTGTTAAGTTAATTTTGGTCCTAAATATAAAATTTATTTCTCATATTTATCAGTTTTTCCTAAATTATCCCTGCAGATACTTCCTCAACCATAATCAATTAAGTGAAGGAGGGAGGATATTAAAAAAGATGATTATAGTGTTTTAGGAAAAACATTTCATATTTTTTATAATTAGCTAACTTATCTAACTTCCTTAATCTTATCAAATTAGTTAAATAAATCTTATATTAAGAACTTGAGGAGTATTAAAAATACAAAGAGAGAAAGTTAATGTTCGCTTTCAATTTATTAACAAGCTGTTGGTTGAAATGGAGAGTACAAGTTCAAATTTTAGGTTGCGCCTAAGATTGCTTAAAAATACTGAGTTATAAAAAAAAAACACCAATAGAGAGAGCGAGAGAACGTGATTTGTTTGTCAATTTTGCTTTAAATTTTCACAACTAATACATGTGACCATGTGAGTGAATACGCTGCACAAAGCACCAGTTTAAGATTAATTATTAAGAGTTTGTTTAAGTTTTCATGATATAAAGTTATTTATTTAAAAAAATCATTTATATAAAATTTCATAATACTTTTTTAAACTTTTAAAATAATTAAAAACTAAAATAATATTTTATTATTATTTTTGAAAACCTACTTTGAATAAAATTTGAAAATAATTAATCACATGTCAGCCAAAAGAGGATCTCAAAAAATCAGGAGTTGGACAAAGATATCATAAAATCTGAAAATCACAAAACAGTTTTCATAAAATCACTTTAGTTAGTTTGCAAGTTACCCCCTAACTACTACTTCCGTTTGATTAGCTGAAAGATTCTTTGTTGAACAAATTTACTCTCCTACTCCAACCAACTCGATATTGACTAAAAATTTAAAAAAATGGAAAACACATTGAATAGTCAACGTGTTCTCATGAACATCAAATATATATATTGGCAACATCCATCATTTATAAAACCTTAAGTAAAATATGGTAAGTATCAATCCTATAAATATGTTAACAAATTAAAATATAGCATAACATCACAAACTAAGGCATTTATATAACATTAATGATGATGATTTTAAATGTTCAAACAGTATCTGAATCTTGCATTATGAAATAAGAGTTGCCAAGTCACTATGTCAATATAGTTATTCTCATATATATTAATGTTGAAGTCATACTGGGTTGACCAACTAATTAGAAAACCTAGCTAGAAGCAAAAGCATAAATCCTTGATAGATGACAGGCTTCGTCCCGCAGTGCAACGTCTGAACCTGTTCAGCTCTGCCATTTTCCTCTCCACGTTCTCATTATTCTCTTCATATATTACATCCATCACTCGCCACATCTGTATTTTTCATGAAAACAACCTTTAAATTATTTCATAATTGAGTTATAGAGAAACCACACTGACTAAAATAATCAAAATTTGATTAACTAAATTGTAAGAATCGACAATAATAATACTAGAATTAATGTTATATGTCTTATTGAATCTTTATAAATGTTTATCTGTGTATGTAAAGACAGAATTGCTCGTGTAGATGTACCTGTAATGTACCACCTCCGAGACCTCTGCAATCATTAGAGAGACTAACAATGGTCCAAGGATCTGATGGATTCCACTGGAATTCAATTGCCCTATGCCTGACAATATTAGATAAAAAAACCATTGTTTTCAAACATTTTAACCTTGACCCAAAAAAAAAAACAAAACAAAACGGAAGAGTATGTAACTAATTAAACAGTTAACTATGTATGTTACTCACCTGTGACCAACATGTCGGAAGAATAAACCAGGAGGTGCCCTTTCTTCTCTCACACCACCAGCACAAGATGAACCTCTCTCAACCTATATACACAATATAACAGAGAGAGAGAGAGTAAGATGTTCAAGAAATATAATATATATATATATATATATATATGAGATGAGGTGTTTAAATATCCTGAAAATATCTACAAGGGAGCATTCAGCACCAAGATTTTTTTTTTACCCTTATATGACTTGTAAGTTTATTTTCGTAGCATAAAATAACCTTGGTCATTGTCTGCTGTTAAATTTGACTATTAAATTATATATACAGTTTGACCAAAGCTTTTAATAGTTAAATTTAACGATATATAACGGTTCAGGACAAAAATGCTAAATAGAACTTTCAAGGCATTTAAGAGTCAAAAAAACTTTTAGATGCTGGATGTTTCTCTGTGAATATTTTTAAGGTATTTAAACATCTTATCCCTATATATATATATATATATTCATGTAGGCAAACACACAATTCTCTATCTGAGTACATATAGTGTTTTTAGGCCTTTTGACCTAATGGCACCTGATGTTTCCTTATTGTAGCACTTGAATGTGGATTCGATTCTTGGGAATAAAACAGAAACGAGAAGATAGTGTTCCCAACAGTGTTGGAACTTATGATGTTTAAGAAAATGAAGGAAAATAATTAATAATTAAATATCTAAGAGAGTTCCATCAAATTACCTTTTCATAGTCCCAAATGTTAACAATGCCATCATCACCAGAAGTGCCAAATACGGATGGTTTATCGGGACACCACTGCACAGTTCAAAGTTCAAACACCCACCTTTAATTTAATCTCAACATATCACTCCTATTAATTCATTAATTAGATTTAAACATAATAAGTTTTAACCCTTAATTAAAGTACCATAAAAGTTTTAGTTCAAAGAATATATACATATATATGTACCTGAACACAAAGGACAGATGCATCGTGTCCCTGGAATTTATAAACAGGATTCGGTCCTCGTCGGCCATTGTTAAGGTTTCGACGATCATACATGTGAACTGACCTATCAGCAGAACTGTATAGTTCACCAGAAACCAAAAAAAAGACATTTATCTAATTATTAAAAGAAAAAAATTTAATTATTGTTGTATAATTAAGCAGTGGGTGTGCGTACAGACCCAGTGAGAATATAATTAACATCGAAGTTATTCCATTCGACACAGTGGATATCGTCCTCAAGATGAGCTTTCTGGACCTGTTAAAATTAGGAGAGACAATAATATTGACGAGCATATATAATAGTTTAAGATAGTTTGGAGATTTGAAAGTTAATTAATTATATTGTTATCATTAAGAAAATTGATAAATAAACAGAAATAAATAAATTAATTAAAGAATAAGAACCTGGATAACGGGGTCTGGGCCAACACGGGCGTCCCATAATATGAAGTTGGAATCGTCCCCTACGCTACAGAACTCTTGTGGACTTTCCAATAAAGAGGTGCAAATATTTGCGTAGTGAGAAGGTTAAATACTTGAACTTAATAATATTTAGGAATAATAGCTTTTTGGATTTGGAGCTTGTAAATATAATTAAACTAACTCAAGATAGAAATTAATTAGTAAGTATATATACCTAGTAGGGCAAAACTGGACATCTTCGACAGTATCAGTGTGTCCACGGAAGATGCCACGTGGATTGACAACAGGGTTATAATTCCTACCAATAATGGAACCGAGTCTAAAGTAGGCTGCCTGTGCTAAAGATGTCATATGGTCTTCCACACTCCATAAAACAACATTCTTGTCCTTCCCTGCAGGATCGAATTTAGGGAGTGTCTATATTAAATTTCTAGAAATAATTTTACTGCGTGCCAAATAATATGAAATTAAAAGAGTTTTGTCTCAAATTGTATGAAAGTATATTTTTTAAGTGCTTTTTAAAACAATCAAATGAAAATTTGGTGTTTGCATGCATGCGTCAGAGCCATAAAACAAGAGCATAGGAAACAGAATCTCTAAAAGATGTTTATAAAATCAGAATTAATGTAAAATGAAAAAGAACATGGACCTCCAGAAAGAACATAAGGTTCAGAAGCAGAAACAGCCAAAGCAAATTGAGCAATATCATCGTGCCCCGCCAGTATCTGCAAAATAGATATGAATATATGCATGTATATCAGCAAACTTAACCAAAACATCCAAGATATCTTCACAACATACTTAAAGATTTCCTTATGATATTTTCCTCCCACAAGTTTGTCCTCTTTTAGAATGCTCTCCCAAGCAAAGCCTATGAGTATCTTTTTAATTAGGATGCTCTCCCCTTTATAGGTCCGCAAGGATGTTCCTTGCAGAAAGTTTTCTCTAGGGTCGGACTATATCTAAGTGTTTTTGAGGATGCTCTCAGAATCCAATAATAAGCTAAAAGAAGAGATATATGAGTGCTTTTTAGAATGATTTCTGAGCCAAACAAGTCAAAGAGTATAAAGACTCCTTTTAGGATGCTCTCTAGAACGATTCTAAAAGTTAAAGAAATATATGCATAAGTGAAAGAACTCATAAGCTCAATGTCTTGACCTTTTATTAGAAGCTGCCCAGTATCATCCAAACATGTCTGAACCATTTTCAATCTTATTAAAAAAAAAAAAAAAAACACACACACACACACACACATATTAAGATTGTATTTATATTGGTGAATTCCATAGATAAACTCAGGCGCAATTATTCATAGTAAATTACCATATATGGTACATAAAAATTGCCCGAATGAATTAATGGAAAAATGTATGAGGAGAGACCCCCAAAAAACAAAAAAAAAGCTAAATACCAGATCCGGTATGGAATATTCAGCTCCAGGGATAGCATGGCGAGCTGGTTGAGCGTCAATATCCCAAATTATTAACTGTTTCATATATATTCAAAAATAGAAAAGAAAAAACTTAATTAGTGCCACAATTATAACAAGCTTACATTAATTAACTACCTCATCATAACTAATAAAATCTAGTTAACTAGGAATAATGTAGGGTAGTAAAAAGAAGCACTAAATTATTAGACAAACACCTCAGGTTTATCTGTGTGCACCACCAACAGATTATTATTCTGTGGCATTTCCCTGATTCTGTTAACCTGAAAGACATCATCAACGCCAAAGAATTTATTAGTTCATTCAACAATCAATAGTGATTATACACTGATCTAATATAAGAAAAGAGAGAATTAATTAATACTCATCTAGATATTTCAAAATAATCAGGCCTAGATGAATATTAACTAGTATTGCACTCTATATAGAAAAGGAAGAAGAAAAGATTAATGAGCAGATTCTAGAGGATTTGAAGATGATGTCCCATTTGTGTGTGCATACCTCTCCGGGGTGAATAATGGATTTGTTCTTCTTGATATTGGGAGAGCGTGCGTCTTCATGAAACTGATCAATCAAGAAATATCAAATTACAACCAAAAAGTACATCCACTTGAATTACAATTGGATAAATAGAAGCTTCATGATCACATAGCAAAACGCATAAATAAGAACAAGTCTTGGTAATGATATATGCATATGTTACCCTTCTGATATCCTCTGATGCAACCTTAGGCTTAACAATCTCACAGTCTGCTATAACTAGAGTATTTGGATAACTACCATCAGTCTGAAACATAATGGCAACATTAGTAAACTAAGAGCAAAGATATATGTAATAATTAATCACCAAGACAGCTCAACAAAAGCATGCTAAAATAATATTCTTATTGCAAACTAATTAGAAAAGCTTCAGGAAGACACGTATATATGAAAAGGGGATTAATGGGATTTCAATTCCAAAAGAGAGGATTAATGAAAGTTAGTCCCTGGAAAAAAGTTGCTGAAAAATGAGTTGCAAATGTTGCTTCAGCAGATAGTTGTAAAACAGGAATCTCAATTACAAATTAATTGAGAGTTACATTTGACAATTAAAAATGTTTTATTTATAATCAAAACTCAAATTTACAAGTTGTTTGAATTGTTATTATATATTCTCCATGTACGATATTGTTCTTGCCTGTTCAGTAAGGTACAAACGTTGTTTCTTGGTATCCCTAGTTTCATCGAATTGAGGGCCCCACCTGCGATTACAACAAGCTAATTAGTAGGGCTTTAAACAAAGGCTATTCTAGTTCCCCATTCTCATGTATGAACGCATATTCATAGAAGAAGTGACATAGAAATGAAAATGTAGAGTTGTGTATATAATTCACACACATGAACATTAATATATAGGAGATTATGCCAGGTCCTTAAGAATCTCTAAACATTATCGAAGCATTTTTGCATTTATATATACTCATCTCAAAATAAGCATATGTAAATATATATTTTGATAATCTCCAAGTAAAATGTTCAAATGAAAACGCTAAGAAGTCAATTATTCAGGATGGAAGAGGCAATTTCATGTTCTTCTAGCTAGATGCATGTCTTGTTATCGCAATAGTAAATCAATGAGTATATTAACTAACTGGTTAGACATACTCAAAATCTCAATATTAATGTTTTGTATTTCTAACCTTATATATAATTGTAAGAGGTTAATAGATTTTGATGAATAAGCAGTCATATCTTCGTTGCTTTGGCATGGTTCATTCCATAGCTTTTCATTTTAATTACAATAAAAAGTTATTTGTTCATACAAATTATCGTATTAATTCAAATCCAATTGAGTTTTTCAATTTTTTTTAAATTTGCAAATTTTAAATCCGAACTAAATGATACTAATTAAAATATAATGATTGTTGCTCTTTTCATGACATGTGAAGTATTTCATATATAGCAGTACAATGAACCATTAATAATAGAACAAGAAAATAAACAAACGACACAACCAATAGTATAAACAGTATGAACTACTAATTTATTTACAAATATAACTAAATCAAATTTTAAATAGTTTAGATTTTATCACAATAATAACCACAATACGCAATGAGCATTAAATGAGGATCAATGAATGAGTTTAGGTACTTATCACTTCGATAAGCATTTCAAGCTTATCAGATATATACTATCCAAATTTAATTTTTTTATTTTTAAAATAATTAAATTAATAGGTATAAAATTTAAAATAATAAAAATAACATCTCAACTATCATTTTTTTAAAAAAATTTATTTAAAATTAATTAATTAAAATTTTTAGATTTGAACAGTGCAGCTCGAGTCTGGATGATGTAGATCTAATATAATGAGTTTGGAGTGTTCAGACAAATTAGGTCCGATAGATTGAGGTTTTGCAGAGGGATGAAAATAAAAACATAACATTTTTCAAAAAGAAATTAATCAACCCAAACACTCTGCCTAATAGGGAATACAAATAATTAGATAAATAAGATTACAATCTAACAAAGTATCCATAGGCTGATGGCCAAAGAAAAAAAAAATTCACAGAATGAATATAACACTAATCCATATGTTTATCTTCATGAGTTATCGTATTAATTCCCAGTCGCAAATCATCACATCACAAACATACTCATATAATCATGATTGTGTTTTGTTAAGGATTTTTACTAATAAAGTGGCATCAAATTATGTTGGCTTCTTTGACGACGTACTTCGGAAATTTCAGATCTCTATTCTTTTTATTTCGAATAAAATAAGCATATAATAAAGACGGTCTTCTGTAAGACGGAGACGCTGTCTTACCAAAAAATATTTTTAAAAAATTAAAAAAAATCCAAATCAAATGGTTCAAATTGCTTCGTCTACGTCTAAAACCACTAAAGCTTGATGAACCGAATTCAAGACCAAAATTATTCAAGAACCCCCAAAAGAACAAAAAAAAAAAAACGCAGATCCATGCCGGAAGGATATTTGATTTCAGAGTTGACAGGGCCAACATCATAAGATCCTTCTTGGGAGAAAGGAGTCAAATAAATGGCGTCAATGTACGAACACATGAAGAGCTGAAATCGAAGCTCTCTTACGTGTTCCGTGGAATCATATCGCATAGTATATATCAAACTGGGTATCAGATATAAGAATAAAGCATGAAGGAGAGAGGAGGAGGAGAAGAAGAAGAACCGGCAGGAGAGAGAGGGCCAAGAAAGATTATGGTTGATGAACCAGTCATAGATGACTGGAACATAAAATTTCCAGCGATTATATCTTCTCTGCACATTGGTGGACACTGGAATGTCGTAACTTCCCTTCATTTCTCTGCTTTCTGCTTCCTCTCTTCACACCCAAAGTGCAGATGAATCTGCAGCTGCCAGCTGGATATGCCCTTCATATAGAGTGAAGAACAAGAAGAAGAAAGGAAGCCTGGGGACGGGACCCACACTCTGTATCTGGGGTCTGTATCTGTATCTGGATCTGTGAAAATAATTTTCATTTATTAGGACTTGTTTTTATGTTTGACCTGAAATTTATTGTATTGGCTAGGGCCTGCATTGATGTGGCATTATTATCATTTGCCTCTTGTTTTTAATATACTACTCCTCATCCTAAATATAAGAGTTAATTAATTAATTTAAAAAAATTAACAAAATAAATTAATTTAGTTATTTGTAATAAATTAATATTTTTTTTAAATATCCTTACTAATTAAATGTATCAGTTAGAACTACTATTATTAGAAGGACCAACTTGAAAAAAATACACAAATATGAGAGACAAAATGTATTCGAATTTTATATTTATAACCAAAATAAAAATCAAACGAGGTTTTATATTAAAGACCGGAAGTGGTATATATATAAGAAGTGTTTTGAAAGAAAATTTTGATCCAAAACATAAGAAATTAATAGAGGAACCAATGATAGTTTTTCACTTTTACCTTTTGTTATATAGAGAAAAGAGAGTTTAAAATATAAAAAGGAGAGTAAAAAATATATAACTTTTATCAATTTAAAACACATTTAATGATTTAATTAATATTTCTTAGTTTCTGGGAAAGATTAACTAACATTTTATATTATTATGAATAGAAGGATTACATGCAGAAGAAACATTACCCCATTCATACCCATTATAATTTATTAGGCCCTATATGAACATGACATGGGGGGCAAAAAGTTGAAAGATAAAAGAAGAATTTGTTACAAGAACTAAACAACGTTATAATTAAAAAATGGAAAATTTGTTACAAAATTCTCATTGCAAAATTATTTATAGAAAGACTCACACAAGTGTAACTCTTTTTCAATCACATATAGCAAATATCTTTCGTTTTATACGTAATTAATAATAAATTGCATACGATTTGTGTTCACTAAAAATAAGTTGAACCTAAATTTTTAAACAAATTTTAATTACATTTGACAGTAACTTTTACAACCAACAATTTTACAACAGTTTTTTTCCTAGCAATAGCAAAACAATTGGCATAAAATTGGGGGAAAATCCTGTGGAGAAGGGTTTTATGGATCTCAAGGAATGTCACAGTTGTCAGCAAGTCATTCCATGCAACAATTTCATTCTCTTGAAACATGTGAGGGAGATTTTGAAAAATAATCAACCAAACTTTTTATCCAATTTTTATTTTTGAACTCTTTTACAGATTAAAATAGGCAAAGTTCATGCACTTCCTTTACTCAAAACTAGATCTTATATACTACCTCCGGTCCTAATTATAAGAACCAGTTGACTAATTTGAGGAGATTAAGGAAGTAAGTTGAGTTAGTTATTTGTCCTAAACAGGTGTTATCTTTCCTAAAATATCTTTGCTAATCAAGTGTATTGATTAGAACTATCATTGTTAGAAAGGCTACTTTGGAAAAAAATGTATAAATATGAGAAATAAAGTGGACTGTGGTCTTATATTTAGGACCAAAATAAAAGTCAAACAGGTTTTTATATTAAGGACCGGAAGTAGTGTATATATATATATGTATATGTATATTATTCTATTTGGTTCGAAAATAAGAAAAAGACAAACAAATTAATGAGTTTAATTTTTGGAAAAAAATAATAAATGGGTTTATAATATTTTGATAAAAGGTATGGAATAATTTCTAAAAGGTATGAAATATAATTGCACAAACAGCCAGAGGGGAGGCGCGAGGCTGTACCCCGAAATTCTTTTTTTTATTCTTCATATTGTATGGATATTATGTACTTCTAGTCTTTAGATGCGGTCTTGTTTGGAGTCAGGTTTAAAATCACTTATAAGCATGTTTGGTGTAAGTTAAAATAAAATTTTTCTCACATATTTACTTCGTATTCTGTAAATCGAAAAGTTGTAAAATTATTTATAAGTCATTTTAAACAAGCTAAAAAATATTATATGTTTCTTTTAATCTCAATTTCCAATATATGCATTAAATTAATTAAGAGAATCATACACTTGTTAATATTAACATATACGTATACGCATGTGATAACAAATCTATATATCCTTCCATGTGTGTGTTTGTGTAACATGATATGTTTAGAGAGTTCAATTATTCATAAGTCATAATTATAACAATTCTCTTTTTAAAAAAAAAAAAAAAAAAAGCGGTTCACCAGCTCAACTTATATACAAAACATGAGGTTGATTTGTATACTGAACATGATTTTATATTTTCTTTTAATTTTGATTCTTCCAAGTTCCAATATATATTGCTTGTTTTGTATTTCTTTCTACCAAATATCATATAAAAAGAAAAAGAAAAAGAAAAGATTATCTGGGAAGGGGAAAAAAAGGAAAGTTGATAATATCCGGGATCGTGTCTTTCATGGACGGGAAAGAGACAGTCAAGGCTGCTTTTTAGAAACGAAAGTCATATGCTGATGTGATGCCTCTCTGAGAAGATCATCGTCCCATTGCTTCATTTCATTCTCCTTTTGGCCACATTCGTTTGAATCTATAACATATCAATCCCCACGTTAATGGGTACGTCTCCGATCTCCATATCGATCGGTTTCTTCATTTTTATCATTATTCTTCACTTTCTTCATTTCTGTCAACTTTTCGTAATCCGTGATCTGATATTCGTGTTTTCTTATAACCGAAACTCACAAAAACACACATTTAACTCTCGCATGCGTTTTCTTTATTTGTTTCTTCAATTTCAAGGCATAATTGTTTGGGATTTGATTAATTCTGACATATTCATTGATAATATGTCTTGAAATGCTAAACTAGTGGGTCCCAGTTGGATTTCATCATGGCTTTTATACATTTCTTCATGGTCTTGAAGGAATAATGTTGGTATATATTTTATGTTATATATTAAGATGAGAATGCAAATTACAATTAACTGGTTGACTTGACCTACCATTAATTTATGAGACCTGAGATTAGCATAATAGGTCTTTCAATGCCCATCTATCATGACCCATTGCAATTGGCAATGATGGGAAATAAGTCTTGCAACTTCCAATCTCACGATCTAATTTTCAAATGTTCCCTTTTGTCACAAACTTTTTTGGTTTCCTTGGCACGAGAGCTGTGAAGCGGGGTCAAAAATTTTATAATCCTTCGTAAAGTATTGGACTTCAGTCTCAGAATGGGATTCTAATGCTGGGCAGATATGATTATGTGAACTTTGGACTCTCCAATGAGCTAGCTTTTGGGATACAGCTCTTTCATATTTGGAAATATTGGGCGGAAATGAATTAAACTGATCAATTAGTGTGTTTTATTTCAAGATTCAGGCACTTAACAAAAGTGAAGACCTTAACTTAACTGTACCTGACATGGTAAGCGAGAGTTAATCTAACAAAAGAAATCCATGACCATTCCAATGACATTTTCCCTGTTTTTTTTAATCTGCCTTCTACGTTCATGGATCATTATTAATATCAATAAGAACAACAAAACTCATTTTCTATTGAAAGGAGAAGGCCCACGTAATTGGTTTTTAAGTTAAAAAGTTGTAGAATTCTTCTTCGCGTAACTCTTTCATACGCTAATGTTGAATATCTAATTATCCAGCAAATAGTGAGGGCTGTTGTTCCACTCAGCTTATTGATGGAGAAGGTACATTCAATGTTGCCGGAATCGAAAAGTTTATGAAGGAGGTCAAATTGGGCGAATGTGGGCTTTCGTATGCTGTAGTTTCTATTATGGGTCCACAGAGTAGTGGTATGTTCTCTTGCCTCCACTATCTTAGCATCTTATCACTTTTCACCTTCTTAAAGCTAACTGATTCATTTTACATGGCAAAGAATGATGATCGTGATTGAAATTTAAGTATCGTAATATGGTTTTGAGCATGCCTTATTTAGGTTGACATGATTTTTACTACAGACTTTTGAAAGTGTCTTGTGTTGTTATGAGCATTAACTTGAGGTTGACATTTTGACGTAGAACTAGAATCTATTATCTATTTACATGGATGATTTCCAGTAATCAAGTTTAGTTTCCTTGGTGTCTCTCTCTATCTCTATGAATTCTTTTCCTAAGGATTCTATATTTTCTTCATTGCATTTTCAGTTTACGTTTTGGATATTTCTCTTGTAATCAAATTAAACTTAAGTCGGATTATTCCCAGCAATGGGATCTTTTATATTATCTAAGTTTTTTGCTTTTGGTCTGAGCAGGGAAGAGCACGCTATTAAATAAATTGTTTCGCACCGACTTCAATGAGATGGATGCTTTTAAAGGAAGGCATGCCTCTTCATTTCACAATTTACATGATTTTTGTCCAACGAGAAGACAATGACTTGATGGGATGTGCTTGTTTTCAGATCTCAAACAACTAAAGGAATTTGGATGGCAAAATGTGCAGGCATAGAGCCTTTTACACTTGTGATGGATTTGGAGGGTACAGATGGAAGAGAACGTGGAGAGGTGCCACTCCAATTATTATTATACCTTAACCTCAATCACAATGTGAATTTAAACCTGTGAAATCTCATACTAGTTCAGAAAAATAAACGAAGAGTCATGACATATCAATACTCATGTTCTACGTTTGGTTGTTTCCTCTTGTACTGATTGATATTGCCTTTTCTGTCAGGATGATACGGCATTTGAAAAACAGAGTGCTCTTTTTGCTCTTGCTGTTTCAGACATAGTGCTAATAAACATGTCAGTTTTCGGTTTGCTCCCGCTTCTACCTTCAGATATTTGTAATACAAACATGTTTTATAAACTTCATATATGTCATGATATCTTTCACTTCCTGTTTTATGTGAACCCTTTTTCTTTGTGCAACTGATTTCTTTTCACATGCAATTTTGTAAAGGTGGTGTCATGACATTGGCCGTGAGCAAGCCGCAAATAAGCCTCTGTTGAAAACTGTCTTTCAAGTATGTTTTGTCTAACTATTGACTACAAGCTGCTATTTGGAATCACGAAAATTGGGTTAAATTTAAATGCATGCTTGGTACTACTTTCAGGTTATGATGAGATTGTTTAGCCCACGCAAAACAACATTGTTGTTTGTCATTCGTGATAAGACAAGAGTGCGTAAGCAAAAGTGCTTTTACTATTGTTATTTGACTATTTTCTGTCATCGAGAGCTCAACTTAAGTGTAAAATTTACTTATATGGTTAATATTTTCCATTGATAGACACCCCTTGAAAATTTAGAACCTGTTTTGCGAGAAGATATTCAGAAGGTAATATTATGCTTTTTCATGTTAATTCTCTGTATTGAATCTGTTATGAAGGTTTCCCAGTCAGTGTTTGATTCTTTCCTTTTCCGTATCCTTATTGCAGATATGGGACTCTGTTCCTAAGCCACAAGTCCACATGGAAACTCCATTGGGTGAATTCTTTAATGTAATTTGTAATCCATTCTGTTGTCACCAAATTTATAGATCTTTTCTTGCATATGTCATAATTCTATTAGCATTTTTAGTAACTGTTTACATCTGGCAACAAATTGTCAGGTTGAAGTTGTTGCACTTTCTAGTTTTGAAGAAAAGGAAGAACAGTTCAAGGAGCAGGTAGTGGATAGTGCACCAAAGGCCTACTTTTTGCTAGCTGACTGTAAAATAAATCATTATCAAGACTAGTGCATCTCTCTGTCTGCATTTCTGGGTTGTGACTGTGCTATAGCCATTTATTTTGGTCTGTACATAATTGTAGGATCAGATTGGTTTTCACATTTGAAAAAAGATATATACATTTTTGGCTTATTGGATCCCTCTATTTCGCAGATATCATTTATTTATGTGATATATTTTAAATGTAGGTTGCCAACTTGAGGCAACGATTCTATCATTCTATCACTCCTGGTGGGCTTGCAGGAGATCGACGTGGAGTAGTTCCTGCTTCAGGCTTTTCTTTTAGTGCTCAGCAAATTTGGAAAATCATTAAGGAAAACAAGGATCTGGACCTTCCTGCTCACAAGGTAACATATAAATGGTGTAATGTTTTTCCCTGGACATGTTTTTATTTGATTAATTAATTATCTTTGATCCCCCAATTTTAGGTCATGGTTGCTACTGTAAGATGTGAAGAAATTGCCAATGAGAAGTACGCTGCCTTCGCTGCAAATGAGGTATCCGCAATTCTTTTACCATAGTACTCCTCCATGGACATTATGACTACTTTAATTGTTTATGTTAACGTAAATTGCTTTACGATTATTTCTCAGGACTGGCATCAATTGGAAGAGGATGTGCAATCTGGCCCAGTTCCTGGATTTGGCAAAAAGCTCAGTTCAATCCTTGGCTCTTGTCTGTCAGAGTGAGTTTAATTCATTTTATATGACATCTCCATCGCCTCAGACTCATGGATACGAAGTAATCTTATGTTTATAATCACAGTTTCTGCTTAGCGTTATGCTGGTTTAATACTCCCTCCAGTCTAAATTATAAGTTATGTGTAAGTGTTGTTTGGTGTGTTGTTGTTAATTACGTTTTTCTCATTTTTTCCCGTGGTTTTAAAGCTTTGCGATCAATGTTCTGTTAGAATTTAATGCATTAATACTATCGAAAAAAAAGAATTTAATGTATTAAATAGGGGTAATGGTGGGAGGAATGTAATATTTTTATATTACAAATTTAATGAGTCATGTAACTTTTAACTTCTATCCTTGGTGTTTTTGAAACATAACTTGCATTTTGGACCAGAGGGAGTAGCAGCCTAATGAGAAACATGTTGCATATTTAGAATTCTAACATCAAAATTGTCAAGTCTTACTTTAGTTGGTCTGAGTGCTTCTGATTATTTATGGTGGTACAATGTGGAGGTAGATTCGGTGGATGCTTTGGAATTCTATGAAAATGCCATGTTTGGTTATTTAATATTTATTTTATCAACGGTTTTTGATGTGGGAGTTTCATGTGAAACCCCATATAATGCTTCTGGGGTTTATCTTTCCTTTTCCAACGTAACTTAAATTTGGTAGGTATTGTGCGAGGCCCTTATGTTTTATTCTCGTGATGTATTTAATCCTTCAATTCAAACTGAACTGTAGTTTGAAATTATAGTTTCTAAATCTTGATTTTGTTGCATTCATATGTCGAAACATACATAAATAAATAGTTACTGTTACTTTTACCTTAACAGACCTCTTACGTTTCCTTTTATCGTAATCATGTTGAATTTGGTAGAAGTATCTCATAAGAGATCGCCTTGACGAGGATTTCATCTATATTGAGCTCTTGTGTTTCATTCTAGGTATGATTCAGAAGCCACTTATTTTGATGAAGGTGTCAGATCTGCAAAACAAAAGCAGCTTCAAGAAAAATTGTTGCAAGTACTTCTTCTTAACTTTATTTTAGTCTCTCTCTGTTTTTTTCCCCTGGATAAGGCCCTAATTTATTTCAATCAGCCATGAAAATTTTAAGATTTATAATGTGATTATATTACTTAAATGTTTTTGCCCGTCGATTCCTTAGCTTGTTCAACCAGCATTCCAAATTGTGCTGGGACATATAAGGTCTGGAATTCTAGAAAAGTACAAGGAAGCTCTTGACAAGGCTTTGAAAGGAGGGGAAGGGTTTTCTGCTGCTGCTAATAGATGCACAAACTCTTTTATGGCTCAGTTTGATGAAGCTTGTGCAGGTATTTAGAAATAAACGTTAGCTTGATATGAAATCATGAAGTGGATCATGCACCGTAAAAAGATGCTGACAATGAAATCACTAGCTTTTGGTTTCCACCAAAAGAACAGCTAAAACTTAATGAACTTTATTATTTTTGTGGCTTGTAAATCTCACTTAATGTGACAATAATGTATGTATTATCCTTTCAGATGTAATAATTGAACAAGCAAACTGGGATACATCCAAGGCAAGGGAGAAACTCCATCGTGATATTGTCGCACATGTTGCTTTTGTTCGAGCAGCTAAGCTGTCTGAACTTACATCATCATATGAGGTATTTATTCAACATTGATAGTGATATCTTGTAAATTCTGAAGTAATTGTCTTAATGATGGTGAAATTATTCATATTTGTGCGGAAAGACAGTGAGTTTGAATCAATATAAGTCATCAAAATTCTATACTTCATCAATCGGAAGTCAAATTTGCATGTAATTTGTTACGAATTTCTGATAGCAGTGTCCTGCAGGAAAAACTGAAAGACGCTTTGTCTGGACCTATTGAAGCCCTGCTGGATGAAGCCAATAGTGATACATGGCCAGCAATAAGGAATCTTCTTAAGCGTGAGACAGAATCCGCCGTATCAGGCTTCTATACTGCACTTTCTGGGTTTGATATGGATGAAGAAACAAGACGGAACATGACCACAAGTCTAGAGGATTATGCAAGGGGTTTAGTAGAGGCAAAGGCAAGGGAAGAATCTGGAAGAGTTCTGATCCGTATGAAGGACAGGTCTGAAGCTCCTGCAATTTAAGTGGACATCCTTATTTTTCTCAAAATGTAATCAAGAGTCACTTACCTTGAATATGAAAACAGGTTTACAACATTGTTTAGCCATGATTCTGATTCAATGCCTCGTATTTGGACTGGGAAAGAAGATATTCGAGCCATCACCAAGACTGCCCGTTCTGCTGTATGACAGGATTATGAATACTGTTTTCTGTTGCTACAGTTTGTATTGCATTCAATCAGCTGTTTAACCAAATTGAATTATTTGCAGTCCTTGAAGTTGCTATCTGTTATGGCGGCTATTCGTTTAGATTCTACTGCTGATAATGTTGAGAAAACATTAACAGTTGCATTGCTGGATTCTCCAAGTTCTATGAAAGACAGAAGCATTACATCAGTTGATCCTTTGGCTTCAAGCACCTGGACAGAGGTTCAACTTTACAATTTTCTGTTTTATCTCGTGCACCTATTGAATTGCAATTTCATACTAGGCCACAGAATTGCATCTTTTTGGTTACTTGCAACTTCTAACGGTTTGGAAACTTCCACCTTGGGAACTGATAAGCTTCTTCGACTTAATTCCTGGGGTAGATTCCATCTTCTAAAACCTTAATCACACCAGTACAGTGCAAAAATGTGTGGAGACAATTCAAGACAGAGACTGAATATAGTGTCACTCAAGCCATTTCTGCACAGGTATGATGTTTCACATTTTTTTTATGATGACAGATTGACAAATATGCTTCTATATATATTTAGGAAGATTTATTAACAAAATCCGCAAAGAATCTTGTTTTATGGATAAAATGCTTTTCTCATTAGTGTGTTTTGTTAGCTTGAAAATTTTCATGGATACTTTGCATTGTCAGGAGGCCAACAATCGTAGTAACAACTGGTTACCACCTCCATGGGCAATTGTTGCTTTACTTATTCTGGGATTCAATGAATTTGTGACACTTCTAAGGTACATGTCAACCGTGTAATCCTCTGATGTCTTTTTAATTGTTTTTAGGAATGAGTGTATGTTTTCTCTTGCTCTCACAACATCTCTCTCTCCTCTGTTCTCGAGAAACTCACAAGCTAATACGAAATTTTGATCAAATAAAATCTGGTTATCATAAAGATCTTTTTCATAGGCACAGTATTTTAAGAATGAGTTTTTTGTCACCTTAGTTTCATATTCTTCATGGCAGAAACCCCTTGTATCTGGGTGTCATATTTATCGGTTTTCTTCTCGGAAAAGCCCTATGGGTTCAGCTGGACATCTCGAATGAATTCCGCCATGGAATGGTGAGCAATGAGCAACTTTATAATATAAAATTATAAAGTATGAGAGAGAATTTAAACCAATTTTGCAAGTGGGTGTTTGGTAGTCTCATCTTTTAGTGTGCATGCTTTCAGCTTCCAGGAATGATATCTTTGTCTGCCAAGTTTCTTCCAACACTCTTGAGCATTATCAGAAAACTAGCAGAGCAGGCACAGAATCCTCCAACAAACAACGATCCCCAGAGAAACCCATCAAAAAGCAATCAAAATTCCGTTACTGACAGTAGTGATACCGTGTCTAGTGCTTCATCTAGCGTAACTTCTTCGGAGAAAGGACCCAAATATGAGTAGGCCAAGTGCAAAACCATCTTGACCTTAGAGTCATTCAGTTTTGTGCAGGTCTCCTCCACAACAGAAGCTATCTGCACGATCTTAATGGTTGTGCTGGTTTTTTTTTTTTTAAAGCATTTTGTTTCGAAGAGTTTTATAATGTTACGAGTGTATGTTATGGAAAAAAAAAATTGATGGATATTAGTGTATTTATGCAGATTCTTTCAATTAATTTGCTGCATGTGATGTGTCTATGGATTCACATGTAGCATGGTTTTGAATGAAAGAAGAGTTTGCTTGCCTCTGATCCTATTTAACAGTTGTTACTTTCACACGCACAGCAAAGTCTTGTATCAATGCTTGTAAACCAAAAAAGATCTGATTCTGTGCATGAAATAATAATTAAAGGCCAACAATGCATGAATGTGTCAAGTGAAAGTAGAAAAAACTGACAACTAAGGTTTATATGTCTAGATAAAAGCCAATATCAAACTCTACAACAGTACAGGATTTTGGGAGTGTTTGGATAAAAACAAAACCACAATTTTAAAAGTATTTTTACTGCATACGAAGTAAATAGGTAGAAGAGTTTGTTTCGATTTACCAAAAAGTGTTTTTGAAAAGCACTTTTACACTCATCCAAACACCCTTTTTGAATCTTATGGGTGATGTGAAGATTTTAAACTTAAAAATATTTTTATATATTTTATGAGTTGAAATACCTATATCGTCATGATTAATCCTTCTGGCTTGATTCATAAAAAAAATCTGCAAAAAAAAAAAAAATTGAACAAAAGTTATACTGGTGGATGGATAAGTTTCGTCTTTATGGCTGTGGCCTGTGGGGTTCCATTTATCCACAGAAACTTTGCAGCCAGGCCGCGAACTATGGGTTGGAGAATATGAATTCTCGATTCGGAAATTACGCAAAGATGCTCGCATTACGGGACTTCATCAGTAAATGTTTACATTGTTTCTACCAAACAAAACGTATCACAAACTATAAACTTTATTTTTATTGGAGTGTATATAAGAATAAAAATAAAATTAGATCTACATTCTGTCTATAAATATTACCTCCGATCCTAATTAGAAGAGCTAGTTGACTAATTTGAGGAGATTAGGAAAATCATTTAAGTTAGTTATTTGCAATAAATAAATGCCGTCTTTCCTAAAATATCCTTACTAATTAAGTGTATTGGCTAGAACTACCATTATTAGAAGGGCAACTTTGAAAAAAAATATAAATATAAGAAACAAAGTAGATTGGAGTCTTATATTTATGATCAAAATAAAAATCAAACGAGATCTTATATCAAAAACTGAAGATAGTAAGTTCTTATATAATTAGGATGAGTATGATGCTGAGTATGAGATTCAATTAATTAATTTGAGAAGATTAAATAAATTAAACAAATTATTTTAAAGTATTTGTATTTATCAATTTTTTTAAATCCATTTGTCTAACTTGTAAAACGATACATAATTTAATAATATTAAAAGTATTTCAGAAAAATTATATAAAATATAATCCAATTAAGTAATTTATTAAAATTTCTTAATTTTTTTAAATTAGTTAATTGAATTTTATATTTACTATTAGAGGTATACATAAAACAAAAGTGAAAACCTGAACAACATTTTTTTTTCCTTTTTAGATTACAGAAGTAATATTTGTTCAATCTCCAAAAATAATACTTTTTAACTATGTATATTTTTTGAATAAAATGGAAGAAGTATTGAAGAAAGTAAAAAACTATATTGAAAACAAAGTCAAAATTAGTGATTAAATCACGTTTATATTATACTATCTTCTATCATTAATATAATAGTTAGTTACTAATTTGTAACAAATATGAGTTGAATTCTCTAAAATATCCTTACTAAACATATGTATTAATTAAAACTATCATTTGACGGAATCTTTAATATATACAATTAGTACAAGAATCACTTAAAAAAATAAATATAATAGACAAAATAAATTAGAATCTCATATTTAGAATCAAATCAAAAGTGAAATTAATTCTCATATTAAGGTGGTATTATGAATATCAGGAGTATTATATTGCTTTTTTTTTTTTGTTTTCTTAAGCAAAAGAGGAGTATTATATTGCTGTTGGTATCCTTTACTACGTCAAAAAATGAAAAGAGCAAAATCAAAGGTTGAACTCTCACGCCCAAAAAAATGCCCACATATTCCATCGTGTTTTGAGCAAGAGTGTCCATATGAGCCAAAAGAAACAAAGTCAAAATTAGTGCGGGGCTTCATTTGGAAGCTGACATGACAGATCCCCAAGTTCTGTGCAATAGTCTGATGAACATTTGGGAGAGTCTCTTGAGCTTTGAAGACGAAACTGACAGCTATCAGAAGCCTTCAATATATAATATATTACAGAAGCCTGAAAATATGAGAAAGAAGACGGTGATCATATCCTTTAGCATTCAAGGCACAGAAACCATTCTTCCTCTCTTTTGTTTGGGTGCGTGTGAGAGAAAGATGCCAGTTCATCACACTGATACGTGGCTTTCACAATCCTTTTACAGTTGAAGAACCTCTTCTTCGGTCTTAAATGCTCCCGCCTCGTGTCAAATTAATAAACTAGCTAGTACTAGTATTAGATAGATCAAAAAGTATCTGGTGCATTATGCACCTTTGATTGATTCATTATCTCCTCGATATTAATATATTAATACAGAAGATGTATTAAAAAAATTTAATACTGAAAATGTAGAAGATATGTGTACTGAAAATATAAATGATGAGTGTTGAAAAGAATTAATTTAGAACAGGCAAGGTCCGACTATGCTCATTAATGTTTTTGGAGAATCATTAAATGTCATTTATGCCTGAATTTAACACAAAGTTGTCCGCTCCATATCAGAGAATTAATATTTCAATTACTTCAAAGAGTAAGATGAAGTTCCCCTTACATTATCTTCGAAGTAATTAACATGTCCAGCCCTGGATTTACACAGACCACCAAACAATACCAACAATAACGTAGATTTCTGTCACCAATATTCTCCAAGTAGGAGTCCATAGAATTTAAAACGAGCAAAAGGAAAACCGATTTCTTTCCCTCTCCGCAATTTTCATACCATTTATTGATCGAAGATCGACTTTTTCTGCTTTTTCTTCCTCTTCTTTTTCTTATAATTTTCCCACCGTTGTTTGAATTATGAATGTTAGTATTAATGACGGATAGTATCAGTCGTAGAGGCAGTTGAATATAGCGAAAGCCCAGCTTGTGATGTATATCTAGAAGAAACAAGAAAATGGCAAGACAACTCAATTCACGTATGACCAGATCAGCTAAAATGGCTTTACACATAGCTTTGGTGGCATATTAAATATGGAGCTTTATGACTCATAGTATGTGCCGGTAAGTGAGCTGGCCTTGAAAGAGTTGTTTAACATGATCACAAAACCATCCCAAATCCTACGGCTATAACTTCTTCACTCCAACCGTGGCATTCATTTCACTATTAAATGACTTCCCCCGCTGTACAGTTTCAGCTTTCTTAAATACGGTAGAGAGGGTAGCATTCTATTCTCACCCCTAACTTGCTCTTACTTCACACTTTGACTTTGCTTGCTTATGCTACTGATACATTGCATTTATCTTAATTTGTGCGTGGTTTAGCTAAAATTTATTAACTGGTTTAAGTATTTACATGGTGTATAGTTTTGTGAGAGTATACATATATATATTATGCTCACAGAAAACAAGGCCAACCAGAGGCAGCCACTTAGAGGTTTGGAAAGAAACAGCTAATTCATTGAGTGCCCTTTTCTGAGGCCTGTGAGGTTCAATGGCTTCAGTTAGTGCAGTCAAATTCTTGCTCTGTCTAGTTTTATGGCTCTTCATCTCTCCAACTTCTTGTCAAGGTTGAGTCTTTTAACTCATGCTACCATTTTCTTGCTTCATTAGCCATATAGGAGGATTTTATTCTCAAAATTCTTCTTAGTTTAGGATCCATCTTTTGTTTCTTTGTCTACCTCTCTGTTTTCAGGGCTGATCTCTGTGGAAACAGAAGGCCAAGGGCAAATTACACAGTGTGTACCCTGTGTGAATTACACATCTATTTGGTTTTTCCGCTTTGTGATAAGAAGCACCACTATCCATCTTACACAGTGTGTACCCAAAAGCACTAGTTTTCTCTGCTTCATAAGTTTCAGTTCAAGAGATCACAAACCAAAACCGAAATTCTCAATTTCTTACATTTTCAACATTAGAAGATTAATGGGTTTTGTTTGTGATGATCACAGATTTACTCTTTTTTCACTTGAACTTCTCATAAACTAACATATCCTTCACTCTCAATATCCAGAAAACAGAACCATCAGCCAGATATTACTTTCCAAGCTTGTGTTATTTCAGCAATAGCAGCAATATATCAGAAGAAAATTGACATAAAAAAGTAACATGAAACAGTGAATGCAGGTAAGAAGAACAAGTTGAATCAAAATGTGTATCCTTTCATCAAAAGGGCAAGCTCATTCTCATCATCTTCGTCATCGATTTCAACAAGGAACAATGACGGGTATGATTATATCATAGTCGGAGGTGGAGCTGCAGGGTGCCCTTTGGCTGCAACTCTATCACAGAAATTCAGAGTTTTGGTGCTGGAAAGAGGCGGGGTGCCGTTTAACAATCCAAATGTGTCGTTTATGGAGAATTTTCACATTACCTTGGCGGACACTTCTGCAACTTCACCTTCTCAGTACTTCGTTTCAACTGACGGAGTCCTCAATGCAAGAGCTAGGGTTCTCGGTGGTGGAACCTCCATTAATGCCGGTTTCTACACCAGAGCAAGCTCCAGGTAGGTTCATTTAATTGCTTTTTCACGGATGAAAAAATAAGTTATATTATTTATAATTTGTGTATAATGAGTTGTTAAAAGTTCATAGTATATTATATCTGAATTAACTTATTACAGAATTATTAATTTAAAATCATAGAAATATCACTTCTTAAAACAAATCACATAATTCTTTTTACTAGTAATCAATATTATTTTGAAATTTTAAAATTCAATATTCTTTTTATTTTATTTTCTCTTAAAAAAAGGGAAAAAGAAAAAAAGAAATAGTTGGATTTTTTTTTTTGCATAACTTTTGGAACACAATAAATTAAATTCAATGAATGTTTTCGTTCTTCTGTGACATAATTTAATGAAATCATGTTCTCATTTTTGGTGTATCACTATGCCTTTTCGCTTTTGTATTTATACCAAGACCTACCATAGGATAATTTATAAAGTTTTTCTAATTTATATTCTCAGAAAAATAATTATATATATAATACAACTACATTAAGCAAAACATATAACCAATCAAAATTTTAGATCCAATTCATTTTTCAACTTCATATAAAATATAAAATCATCAATAAAACCTTAACAACATTGCAGAAAATTCTAAGATAAGCTAGTAATTCATTCTCTGAAAAACTTACACCGCATATATCAATTAAATAATTCAATTAGATTTAGAGGGTGTTTGGAAAGTATTAGAAGTGCTTCTGAAAAATATTTTTCCGCAAATCGAAATAAACTCCTTCACATATTTATTTTGTATACCGTAAAAATAATTTTAAAATTATAGTTTTGATTCCATTCAAACACCTCCTTAGATACTTAAACTTGTATACTTTGATTACTTCTCATTTCAAGGAAAAAAGCCATTGTTATTCCATACTTTCTTAGCAGAGCTTTTATTTGTTAAAAAAGAAGGGCAAGAAATTCATAATTAAATAAAAATGTTTTAAAATAAACATTATATTTTTTTATAAAATAAACATATACGTGTTTTATGCTAAAAAAATAAACAAAAGCTATATAAATAGAGTTGCACAAATCTTCAGTGAGAGAGGCTAGAGATAGGTCTCTGTCCAACCACCCACGTGACAAACGTCCAAGTTTTAATTTCGAAATCTTAAAATAAATTTAAAAGGTACCCTTTAATTTATTGAGAATTATAAATTTATAAGGTTAGGAGTTATGACCATTAATGAAATGTGTGGTCTAGAAAATTTTAGGCAAGCAAAGGGCATAACCTTTAAATGAAATATTTAATTGGTTAGATACTTATAGGAGTACATAAAAAGTTAAGTATAAGAAGGTGAATGAAAATATGAATAAAAAATAATATTTATATTTTAAAATGTAATAAATAGGTTTATAGTTCTTTTTAGATATTAAAAATATTTTTTATGAGCATACCACCTATTAAATATTGATATCACATTGGTCATTGTTGTGTGTGAATATCAGAAAGTAATGTCTTTTTAAAATACTCAACAATAGTCAATTATTGTGGTCCTTTCCTCCCAAAATATTCATGACATGTCTGTATTCAAAGGAAAATCCTTACATTTGAATGCCCATACATCTGTCTAATTTTAATATACCGCCATTTTAGAATTTTATTTTTATTTTAAAATGATTTAGAACTTTAATGTACTATTTTAGAATCTTAGTAAATTATTTATCATTTTTGTACGGCTTTATCCTTCAGTAATAGAACAATTATAGGTGAAGCTCAGGTGTTATAATATCTTCCATATGAGAGAGCATTATTATATTGGATTTTGTTACCAGCGAAGTAATAAAATGTTTTTGAAACAAAAAAAAGTAATTTAATTTTTTATTATTGCTGAATCTGAAAATATTGACCTCAGTCTAATAATGAAGTGTTTCGAAATAATTTTGTAATCTATATAAAAGTATACACATAATTAAATAATACTGCCTTTAATCTTAATTATAAAACCTCATTTAGATATTACTAATTAATTTGAAACATTGATTTTGTACGGAAGATTCCCCTTATACTCCTCCGGTCCTAAATGTGAGACCTTTATACAGTGTGTATAATGGTTATACAGTGTGTATAATGGTTATACAGTGTATATAAGGGTTTTATATTTAGGACCGGAGAAGTATGATATAACTACCATTCATCATCTACCTTATCCAATAGGCTGTTCCCTGGTCCTCGGGGCTTGAGCCGAACGAAACAGAAATAGAGGCATGCATGAGAGGAAATTCGGCCTGATCACATGACCCATGACCATTACCTGAACAACAAAACTCGTTCTTTCCCTGACACATTTCAATTGAGATTGGCAGAGGCAATGTAAATTTACTAACTTTGAACAAATGCAGATTTATAGAGAAAGTGGGTTGGGATGCGAAGGTGGTGAACGAGTCGTACCCATGGGTTGAGAAGCAAATCGTGTATCGTCCAAAGATCGCAACTTGGCAGCGAGCTGTTAAAGATGGCCTTCTAGACGTGGGTGTTTCTCCTTTCAATGGCTTCACCTTCGATCATGTCCATGGCACCAAGGTCGGCGGTACCATCTTCGACCGTTTTGGCCGCCGCCACTCTGCCGCCGAACTTCTTGCTTCCGCAAACCCTCGAAAAATCTCTGTTCTCATCCATGCCACTGTCCACAAAATTGTCTTTGACACAAGAGGTAAACAAAAACAAGCGTTGTCACGGAACGTGCTGAAATTATCATATATGGGGTAGAGAGTTTTAACTTCTTAACTTCATTTATCATGCAGGAAGAAGGCCAAAAGCTGTGGGGGTAATTTTCACAGACGAGAATGGGAAGCAGCATGAAGCATTTCTGAGGAAGAATATGCAGAGTGAAGTGATAGTGTCATGTGGGGCTATTGGGACGCCTCAATTACTGATGCTGAGTGGGATTGGTCCTAAAGAAGAACTTGAAAGATTGAATATTACTGTGGTGCTTGACAACCCATATGTTGGGAAGGGCATGACTGATAACCCCTTGAACACCATTTTTGTGCCTTCTAAAAGGCCAGTGAGGCAGTCTCTGATAGAAATAGTTGGTGTCACCAATATGGGAGTGTACATCGAGGCTAGCAGTGGCTTTGGTCAGTCTGACGATAGCATCCACTGTCACCATGGTATCTTGTCTGCTGAGGTATGCTACTTGTTGTCTTGTCCCATAGATTTACCAAAGGGAAACCTCAAGTCTGTGTCATTTACTACACTGGTCCCTATATTTTATGTTTCAGTTGTAGCTTGGTCCTAAAGAACTTTGAAAGTGTAGGAAAACGGCCGAAACTTAAATGACTGAATTGGACAAGTTAAATTTTATGGACTAAGTTGTAATTGAATCAAAATTATTAATTTTCCCTTTACCAAATGTAGAGCACACTCAACATAGATGTGTCTCGTGTGTTCGTCTGGCTTGTAAGTATATTTGGTTCAATTTAATCAATTTCGGCAACTAATAAATTGTACTCATGCAAAGATGTGTTTCTTTTCTCCACTCCACAATAAACCAGATTGGGCAGCTCTCCACAATTCCTCCTCATAAGAGATCACCAGAAATTGTTCAAGAATACGTCAAAAGCAAGCGGGAAATACCAGTTGAAGCATTCAGGGGAGGCTTCATCTTATCAAAAGTAGCGAGTCCTTGGTCAACTGGTGAGCTCAAGCTGATCAACACCAATGTAGAAGACAACCCGTCTGTGACCTTCAACTACTTCAACCATCCATATGATGTTCAGCGTTGTGTTGAGGGCATTCGAATAGCAACTAAGGTTGTACACTCGGATCGATTCACGAACTACACTTTGTGTGACAAAGAAAGCACTGAGACACTTCTTAACCTCACTGTGAAGGCTAATGTCAACCTGGTACCCAAGCATGTCAATGACACAAAGTCACTAGAGCAGTTCTGCAGAGACACTGTGATCACTATTTGGCATTACCATGGTGGGTGCCATGTGGGGAAGGTGGTTAGCCCTGATTATAAGGTTCTTCGTGTTGATAGACTCCGTGTGGTGGATGGCTCAACGTTTACTGAGTCACCAGGGACTAACCCTCAGGCCACTGTGATGATGATGGGCAGGTATGTGAAAGCAACGTTTACCATATAGTGCATAAGGGATTAAGATTTAGTTAAAGCAATCTAACATGTGGGCCTTACATGTGCAAATTTGAATCCTGACCGCTGCATTTATACGCAGTATGCGGATCCTGAGAATTTTTTGGAGAAGCCAAAAGATTTGGTCCCCCGGGGGGGGCTTTGGATTTAGTCACACTTCATACTGACATTTTCTTTTCATGAGTCAGTGATGTGATGCTTCATTTGGAAAAATGCCTATGGTTTATGTTTCTGTTAGAAAATCAGATAGCAAACACTTGATAAATTTTACTTGAGTCTTGTTCTTTGCATCAACTTTCTCACTAGAAAAGCGTATACACATTATCTATATCTCTTGCTTGCCAATAATTCTATTTGTCTGTTACAGGTACGTGGGACTGAAGACTTTAAGAGATAGGTTGGGGAAGTCGGGTGGTATATAAGGAAGGAAAGGTGAATTATGAAGACAAAAGGAGCAGTGTTAGCAATAGGATTGAAAATTAATATAGCCTATTTGTTGTAATTGTCACTGAAAATAGATTAATAGTAAAATCTTGGTTTCTTGAGGAAGAAAAGCTTGCTGTAAGGGCAACTTTCGCCTGTTTCTAAAATAACCTCTTTGGGTGTTCCTTTTTTTTTGGTGTTATGAAGCAGAAGTTGCTAAAAGTGTAAAATTTTGTCTGTGTTGAACTTATTTTGAAACCTTTGCAAATTCAGGGGATCCAGTAATTAGCAGTTCTTTTAACTTCTCGTTCAATCATTCCATAATTTTCTTCAGTAATAACCTCTATATATACAGGGATGATTGGGAGTTTGCATATTTTTTAACTGTCACTAACCCGACTTTTCCAACTGTCTTTCCCTAACTTAAATTCCCTTGTAACAGCTTGAATTATGAAACAGTTACTTATACAAACCTTGTAATCAATACTAATGTACCTGTAAAAAATTTTAGAATGTTGCAGCATTTATAAGCTGTGAAGAGCATGACTCATTTAGGACTCTGCAAATGTGTGAAGCCTATTGTAGTTTATTTATAATCAAGACGAATGACCTTCAACTTTAAAATAAGATATGTGGAATGTTTGCCTCCACGTTAAATGATCACTTTTACTTTTTTCTTTTAAAGACAAAACTACTCTCAAATATTTACCTTGTACAACATAAAATGAATTAAAATAACTAAATAATCACATTAAAGGAAGAAAGTATCTCTCTATATGACCAACGAAAATGTAATTAAAGATCTCCAATGTTTGATTTCACTACTGAATTTCTGTTACTGGATCTTCATGTCCGATGATACTTCAGGAGCTTTAGAATGACGATACAGCTCCCAATTCTATACTACGAGGTGAACAGATTAGTTCAATTGCTACAAATGTTTTATTCGCTTTGCTCCGCAGATTTGTCTCTTCCAAATTGGCTTCTTGGAGACTTCGACTGTCTAGAAAAAGTCATTTTCCACGACTCTTACCGAGAGCCACCCAAACTGTTCGATGCTTTGATTCATGTTTGCAGCTTAAAATATGGTCATCCCCCTTTCAGTAATGAGCACACCTTCATTTTATCAGAACTTATATTCAAGATGTGGGGAAGTTTGAAAATCCATGCTCACTAACGCTTCCTCCTGATGAACTTCGCAATTTCTGCCATACCTTCCTTTTTTTCTCCGTGGTGAGAGGCTCTGAATCAGAATGCCTTCTGAAGGACTCAAATCCCTGATCTGATAATGGACTGAGCAACTTTGATTCTGTTAATGTCTGGAAACCCATCATCTCACCTGAAATTCTTGAAAATTTCCCATCTCCATCGATTAGAACACTCTCTTCATGGAAGCTCCTTGATCTCATAATGCTTGTATCGTCAAACTCACAGCAAACCAACTTCAAGGCCTGAACGACTTCACCCATGAAAGGGCGTTGCGAGACTTCTGGCTGCACACACGTCGATGCAATGGCTGCAACTTTTACCACAGCTTCAAAAGACACGTTGCTCTCTAAAACCGGGTCTATGATTGTCTGTAAACCGTCCTTGCTTGTGAGTAGCGGACGAACCCAAGCCACCAGGTTTTCTTGACCGGGTGGCTGTGAAAAATCCACGGGCTTTCTTCCTGTTAGGAGTTCAAGGAGTACAACTCCATAGCTGTACACATCACTTTTGACAAGAAGATGGCCAGTCATTGCATATTCAGGCGCCAGGTACCTGCAATAAGAAATGGGTTTGCAGGACAATGAAAAGCAAACAAATGGTAAAAAGAATCTGGATGATGATCAGCCAATATAACAATGACCTTAGGCCTAGCCTAACCCAGCCCCAAAAGAAGTATAAACAAGAAAGAAGGATTGAAAGCGGATAATATTTGGTACCCAAATGTTCCCATAACATGTGTGGAGATGTGCTTATTTCCCCCGTCCAGTGCTGTTCTAGCCAATCCAAAATCCGCAACCTTTGGTGTAAAATCATGTTCCAACAAGATGTTGCTAGACTTGAAGTCTCTGTGTATCACACAGGGATTTGAATCTTCGTGGAGATACGCCAGTCCCCGTGCTGCACCAAGTGCAATCTTCATCCTAGCATTCCAATCAAGTGGACTAGTTTTCTTGTCAGAACCTGGGACCATAGAGAACATTAAAAAATAAAGAAAATCTACGAATGAATTGCTGACATTCATGAACTGCTCTTTTAGCTTACCATGCAAGTGGGATTCCACACTTCCATTAGGGATAAGCTCGTAGATTAAGCAGCGTGTTTGATTCTCCATGCATATACCTATCAGTTTGACTAGATTTCTGTGGTGAAGGCGGCTAAGCATCTCAACTTCTGCCAAGAATTCACGGCCACCATGCTGATCATACCTTTTCAGAATCTTCACAGCCACATCCCTCCCATCATGTAGAAAACCTTTATAGACAAGCCCAAAGCCGCCTTCTCCTATTATTCTGAGAGCATCAAAGTTGTTTGTTGCTTTCTCTATTTCATTCAAAGTGAAGGTCCTAACAGATCCTGTATATATTATTGTTCCAGAGCTGAATGACATTGATCTAGAACCTGGTATGCTCCCATAGGTCAATGACTTAATAGCCCCTGAAAAGTGCAAACTTAGTAATGTATTTATAGCGGATTCCATGTTAATGTGAGGTTTGAAACAATATGATAATGGATACACAATAAAACAATATGCCAATTGGAGGTTTAAAAGTATAATGTCCAGAAGAATAGTCATAAAAGTCAGGGAACCGATTAAAATATTTCAGAAAGAAGCAATTTCAACCCTCTAGTTCTTCTAGTCCGGCATATGTCCAGGGTAAAACAGAAAATTCCGCTAGAAGATAAATTAGGGGGCGCCAATTGCCATATGCTACAGAATTGGTTCAAGAAACCAACAGAAGTATGATACCTGTAATTATGGAAAACAAAGAACAAGAGCGTTTTTAGCAATGAAGTTGATACCTGATGGTTTTGAAGATGATAGGATTGAATCATCTGGGATATGTTCAGGTTGTTGAACACAAGATCCACATTTCAACAGATACAGCCAGGCAGCTCCAATGAATAGAACAGACACAGTTATACATGACAACACAATTATTATAATCATGCTTCCTCTTTCACTACTCCCGTGCTTTCCATTCACTGGTACATTTACTCCTAAAGGTTTCATTATTGTTCCATTGTAGTCATAGCCAGGGTATGGCACATCATCCATACTAGAGATGCTTGAGGAAGCCAAAGGCGGAGATGGTGGAAGACCTGCACATATAATCCAAAAGAAGTCTAGATGTTAATATTTATAATATAATTAAGAGAATTGCCTCAAGAGACTAGGATTCCTTACAACCTGGATAATGAACATAGAGCACTTCATAGGATCCAAAGAGGGAAGCATCTGTGAGAATCTCCTTGTGCCAGAATTTCTTATATATTGAAAATGCGGTTGCATCATCGAAATTTACTCCTTCAGGTACTAGGTTTATAAGAACATTGGTCTTCTCTAGTTGGTGGTTAGCTGCATCAGCTCCCACAATGCGAACTTGGCTCCGATTAAGTGAAACACCGGCTGCAATTTCCTCAGCAAGCTTTGAGACCAGAGGAAAAAACTTGTATATTGCAATGCCAAGGTCGAGCTTAACTTGTAGGGGCCAAACACAAGCACAAGGTGATCCAGAAGGCGCATATGTAAGGGGCTCTGAACAAGTCAGAGACATGCAATCTACAGAAAAGATGAGGATCACGGAAATTTCTTGATGTCGTTGAAAAAGAAGGGACTGGTGAAATATATAGACAGATATATATATATATATATATAATTAAGGGCTGCTGCAGAGTTAAGTATACCGTTATTAGGAGGTGGAGGTGGCAAACCCAAAACCGGTGATGGGGATGGATCCTTCGTATGCTTTGAATGAAGGGGTAGGACTCTAGGCGAAGGAGAAGGAGCTGACGGACAAAAGATGGAGCCAAAGTGAGGCTACAATCAACAATCAGGGTAGATAAGAAATTATAGTTATAAGGCACTGACAAGGAGTAATCTCAGAATTTTATACCATTCAAGGGGACTGATAAAAATGCTCGCAACGGTGCAGGTGCAGGTGCAGGCAATTTCCTGGTCTTTGGAGAAGGAAAAGGAGGATGTGCAGGAAAAACCGAATGACCTGAATTTAAAGTGAGTTTTCGGAAAAAAAATTTCATGTAAACATGTCTATAATTTCCACAACAGCTCTATTTTAAGTTCTTTCAGTCAAACGTCAAACCTCCATGATTGTAAGTAGGGGTTGGGTTTCTGGACTTTCTTCTGGAATGGTGATGCTTATGATGTGATATTGGAGAACGTACAGAACCAGGAGATAATGACTTGGAAGGTGGAATTGCAATACTTGCAGGAACTCTAGGAGATGACTGGGATGGTGGAAGCGCAATACTTGAATGACTTCTGGAATGGTGCAGATTCGTGGCTGCATATAGAAATTAGTTCATTCAGTTTAAAATTGCTATGGACATGAGCCTTTCCAGATAAGAAGTTACAATTTACCCTAATGGAAAGGGTAGCCATGGGTGAATAGTAAATCCATCATGAAACACTTCAATTTAGTTAAGTTTTTAGACCTTGCTAATGGTCATCAACTCGTTCTGAACTTTAACTCGACAGACAAAGTTTGTATCAAAGACAAATGAAAACAATCTAAAGAAGCTAGCATATGTAAAATTAACAAATAGGCCATAGCAGGGAAGTCATTCAATTTACAATCATATGGAAGAAAATCATCATAGGAAGTCACGAACCCATATCAGAACCAAATGTCGACGTCGAAGTTAAGAGAATAGATCAATTATTGATTTCCTGTCCTTACAATTTGACCAAGGGAATACTTACAAAGAAGATCTCGCGTTTAAGTTCTGAAATCTGAATAAGTATAGAATGAATTATACGCTCTCATTGTAGATAACAACACAGTACATTACAATTAAGCTCATACCTCTATACTCATGAAGTTGTGGAGCACTGAAAACTAAATGCAGCATAAAGAGAAGAATAGTCAGCTGCAACCCCATTTTCAATTCTGAAGAATTTAGAGATTCAAGTCGGAAGATCTCTCAACTTTCACCAACTACCCAAGGAGGGGAAGGTGGTGAAACCAGAAGCATTTGGCGAAGCGGAAACTTGATATCACAGTAAGGAACAGTCTTAAAAGAGCTCTGCAAGTAAAGCAGACACACCAATATTAAAAGAGAAAAAAGAATTCCAGTAAGGACACCAGAATGGATCAGGTGGGGATAAATCAAGCTTTCACCTTTTTAGACCTAAAGCTCAAAACTTTGCAGACATGAGGTTTATGAAAGCATAGTTTCGTTGTTTCTTTACAAGATTTAAGATCAAGAATAAACCCCAGCTACACATTTCATCATCATAGTACAGTAATGTCTGTGCAAGAGGCTGGTGGTAGGTGGGGCTAATGTGTGAGGAGCGTGCTTGATTGCGAGATTAAGGGGGTGTTTGGATAGAAACTAAACCATGGTTTCAGAAGTGCTTTTACAGATTATGAAATAAATATGTGGAGGAGATTATCTCGTTTTGCGGAAAAGTGCTTATGAAACCATGGTTTTGGGTTTCCCAAACACCCCCTAAGTGTGTGGGAGTGAGTGAGACTTATAGGATCAATAAATTCAATTAATTAACGGTGCAACGCTTGACTTTCTTGTTGGTTTATCCAAACAATGATTCACCCAAAGCATGGTAGCCTGGGAGGCTTTGAAATCTTTATATAATATTATAACGTCAGATTTACAATAGTTAAAGTTAGGTTTTTATTGAAATTTTTAGGCACCTTTGTCAGTTATCTCCAGCTCTGAAGCAAGAATATGGATTGTCTTTGCCCAATGGGCGCCAGGTTCGTGTTCCAATGGGATTTTACCTCTTTTCCCCACCCAAAAAAAGAAAAACACTTCTTTATCGGTTCAATAATCAATTTCTTTCCGTTTCCATAGGGAAAGCGACCAATAGATCAAAATGAAGAAAGCTGAAAGTGTAATGCTTGTTTGTTAGTTGTGAGTGGTCTGTGTTGTTTACAGACAAAACGTGATCGGACTTTACCGGTAGTGGACGCAGACAAATATGATTCGATCATGTTCAATCCACCACCCTGAAAGTATTCAATGGTCTGAGAAAATAATGAAGGCCCCATCATATAATCCATGTGCATGGATGAACCGGCAATTTCTTCAATTATTACCACAAAGTGATAGCTTCACATATGACCAATCAGTTTCTTTCATTATTTAATTCCTATCCTTTAAAAATGAATTTTACCAAAGAGAAACCAAAAAATATATATATGGCATTTTTTATTGCATACTTTTATCTGAAGTAATATTGGTATTGATTGCTGTAGGACCGTGCGTTGATTTTTATAGATATTTTTGGATGCTTTTTGTTTTTTTTTTTGGCTAAAATATAGGTATCTTCCTATTAGAGACAATCTTATTCGAGGCACTGTCAGCAACTAAATGTGGGCACCTCTCCCAGTAGAGATTCGAACTTTGATTCGTCACGTTGTGAGGAGCTAGCCCCTTATGCTAAACCCAACCCCGTTGCTATTTTTTGTTACTTTTACTTTCATTCAATAATAATATTTTCCCCCAAAAAAAGTTCTAGGCTTTAGTGAGCCCACAATGCATTAAGATTTCACATGAATATGGGTCGAACGTGGAAATATTTTTCAAATGTGTGCATAGTGCACATAAATTATCAAAGTCGTTATCAATTTTGAAATATGCATATAAACGTCAATGTCCTTCAGTTCAGGTGTTTGGCCCACAAGAAGGAACTTTTTTTTTTTAGCCAGCGCCCAAAAAAAAGAAACTAGTGATGGAATCCTTCAACATTTTAAAAAGAACCACAGATATTAAATTTGAAATTTTAATTATATCAATTTATTAAATATATTATCTCTATCATAATAGGAGCACACTATAATATGTACAGAATTAACAAAAAATGAAGCTTGTTTTGCTTTTATATAATAACAATAAGAATTATGATAATGAATAACAATATGTGGGATAATTTAATGGGAATTTAAATTATAAACTATGGGTATTTAATGTGGAGAGACAAACCCACAAGATTTGGTAGTTTGTTTTGAATGCGCTGTCCTTATATTATTATTATCCACGAAAACGACTTTGGTGACTGCGAGAACAGTCCCGCGCATTGGCCAATGGCCACCACAAACACAAAAATCTCTCTCACTTGTGTCGGCTTTGCCCCTCTGAAAATTTAGAATTTGTTTTAAAAAATTAATCATGAGAGTTTTGGAATGAAATTATTTAGATTTAACCATTTCTTAATTTTAATATTATTTTAAATAATGTAAAGATAATTCTAATAGATTTAGGTTTGTTCTTTTGATTAAATATTTGGTTTGATTATGTAACTATAATATTCTTCCTCCGTGTTCGTTAATAAATTTATTTTTTGAAAAATCAATTTTTAATTAGTAAAAAAATAATATAAAAGTTTTGGTATCCTCAAGTCACTTTTGGACCTAAAATTAGTCCTTATCAAGTTGAGAACATTAAGATTAACGTACTCTAAACAAATATGCAAAATTATATAAAAGTTTAATTGCACTGTTTGATCATTTTAATTATGCGCACTTTTTTGTTGGAATTTGGATATTATTGGTTTGTTCTAATCTAAATCCAAGAGCCATCGCTATCTAATTAATGAGTAACCGAATTAAATTCCCATAATGAGATTATGAATTTTAAATTTAGCTGCTTCTGAATTTTAAAGAGAGAATTTTTGGTGATATATGGGCACTTGAAAGAATATTTGTCCAATTATGAAAAATTAGCTATTAATTCCTTTCAACTAGACATCAAATATGCGTCGTCTATTGAAAAAAAGAGGAGAGAGATCAATTATGAGTGCAATACTAAAATATTATTGAGTACTAAATGTGAGCATTTCTTTTAATATGAGTTTTAATCTTGATTTACTATGCTAAGAGGAATTAACCCTTTTCATTTCATTTGCATGATTTTTCTTTTGGTTGCAAAAGCCTGTTGTGGGCCCAACTCTTTGGGCCTGGAGTGGGCCCATCTTTTGTTTTTCAAGTGGGGGTATTCATTTATATTATGAGGGTGATGCTGCATTTTAATTTACAATCTTAGTACAATGAATTTATGGGTCTTCTTATTTACGAAGCTCTAGCTGTTGAGGAATTAATGGGAGGGGATGACCTGGAAATAAGTTACCATTTCACTTTAAAAATATAAAATAATAACAGCTCAAAAACTTATTTAAAATTGGTTAAAGACAATATATAAAAATGTAACTTATTTTTTTTTTTAAATATCCTTGTTTAAGTGGGAAAAAAATGAGTAAAGAAACAGATAAGAAAGACATATAACTAATTAGGAGTTAAAAAAAAAAGCATTCAGTTATAAGACAAATTCAAAACCCCTTCAAAAATTTGATGCTTATGTTTTGAATTAGAGGGAGTGTTATTTTGAACTTTTAAGTATCGATAGTGATAATGACTATTTCATTTTTAAAAATAACAACTTTAATTATATAAAATGACAAGAAAATTTTTGCAATGAGAAGTATTGTTTTAAAAAGTTTGATCGGGTTTTTAAGTGCAAGGGGTAACCTAGTAATGAATGGCTACTCTACTTTAAAAATAAAAATTTTAATCTTATGAAATGAAGACAATATTCAGAATTGACAGCTTTTGTCTTCTGTCATAAAAAAAAAAAGGGCAATATAATCATTTGGCGATACAAATTTATCTCAAAGAAGTCCCTAAGAATTTATAAGAATTAGACCAATTATGGAACTTATTTATATTATACATATTTTGGGGTGCTTTTATATCTTCCTCCCAATAGCCTTTCTCCGGTGTTCCCATCATGCGTTAATCTATAGAGTAAAATTTCACGACTGTGCTTTGTAATTATTTTTAAAAAGAAAAATCAATGACGGTGCTATGAGGTCCCAAGAAAAATGCATAATCACAACAACAGAAAGTTCAGTGATTATGATTCAGATATTATTGCCCATACAAAGCACAAACGATGGTCCGAACGCTGAAACCAATTAATATGTTAAGGGCCTAATTAACAAAAATAAATTTCGATCTCTAATATTATTGGGCTGTCTTTTGGAGCCCAAGCATATGTTGCTCTCATTCCAAGAAACCATGCAATATAGTAATCTTTTATATCATTGAAAAAATGACAAAAAAATCTATTGAATTTCAAAATGATAAATAGATAATTTTAACTTGGTAAAATTATTACAAGAATAGTTAAAACCATTACAAAAATAATTAATATAATCTATTTTTTTTTAAAATTTAACAGGTATTTTCTGTCATTTTTTCTATATGATACCACCACAGCAGCTCATACGTACGCTTTAAAATTGAAATTAGAATTTTGCGCAAAAGAGTAATTCCAACCCGTGAGCTATAATTTTCAAGTGGCGGAGAAAGGTATATGATTTGTAGAGTTTTTTTTATTATTTTTATTTCTTAATATAAAAGCTAATTTGATATTTAATTTGGTTTTAAATATAAAATCGTAATCTATTTTATTTTTCACATTTATTCATTTTCTTTTAAAATAGTCCTTATAATAATTATATGTGTTAAATGTTCTATCAAGTGTCAGTTCTAACTAATACATATAACTAACAAGAAAAGCATGTTAGAGAAGATAACACATAATTGTTATAAATAACTAACTTAACATATTATTTTATATTATTTTTAATATAGTTTTTAATGTTCAGATGATTTTTACACCTTACAGCTTTAAATATTTTTTAAAATGTTTGTTGTCAATATATAATGTAAAACTTTATCAAAAGTTGCAATATTTATACTCCCTCAGCTCTTATATATAAGCTCCACTTTTCAAAAAGAGTTTAGTCCAAAATATAAGCTTTATTTTCTAGTTTGTGTGAACATTTATTATTTTTTTTCTTATTTTGCCTTTAGTTGACTATATTTAATATTCCCTCTCTCTCTCACATTAATACTATCTCATATATTCTCTTTCATAATTTTTATTTATTTATTATCTCTTTCATTTACTCTTTTAATTAATTTTAACTGTTAATTCATTTGGTTATTTAAAGTTTATATATGGGATCGGAGGGAGTAATAAATCACAAATAATTTACATCACGGCAATCTCCATGTAGAACATGTGATCATAAAATTGTTAGAAATTTACATCTGGTCTGAGTTCTCCATGTTGATCTGACGATCTCTCAATAGTTCGATCGTAATATTTAAAGTTGAAAAAACAACGTCTATATTTTTAATTCCCCACATA